TATTCCATTTGCTATTCCATTTGCTATTCCATTTGCTATTCCATTTGCTATTCCATTTGCTATTCCATTTGCTATTCCATTTGCTATTCCATTTGTTATTGTGTTGTTATCTTGTTAATTTGTATATCAGAAGCAACATGTCTGGGTTATGTTTTATTGTTTTATTATTTTATAAGTGGGAATCAATATGCTGGAGGTATGCTAATAATAAGATGTCTCAAAGCAGCAGTTTTGTGGATTGTGAAACAAGATGAACTACCAAGACCACCAAGTGCCAGAACAACAAAATCAGATACAATGGATAGCGTGAAACAACAAAACAATAGAACAATAGAAAAATTTGATAATAAAACAATAAAAGAAATGAAGATGGACTGGATGTTTGTGAGGTTGGTTAATAATGTGCAGATACAATCTTCAAGTGGTGCAGGATCTGGTGCAACTGCAGAAAATACTACACGTTGTCATCAAGAACATTAGACCAAAACTATCGGATAATGGTATTGAAGGGAAGGAAGGCACGAAAGCAGTTTTGTATATTGCGACAGGTTGGTTGTGGTGGATTGTAATTGAGTAAATTGACAAGACAGATATGATGGAGATATTAACTGAGCAAACAGAGAAGATTGGGTTTGTCGGATAATGGAAAACCAAAGATATGTGAAGATATTTGGAGATGTTTAAAATTATTTGATGATTTCTGAGGCTATCTGAAGTGTATCTCTGGCACTGTTGCAGTAGGTTAGGTATAGGTTTGGGAGAGAGATTGGATATTATCAGACAATCCAGGCCGTTATGGCGAGGATGATTTGGAGTACAAATAGATGGCAACAGGGCAGATTGAGATTTGGAATTAATAAACATTGAAAGGTTATAAAGAACATTGAGAAATTAAAAAAAAAAGCTGAAAAAAAGTTGACAAGAAGTTGAAAAAAAGTTGAAAAACAAGTGAAAAGATCGAAAAAGATTCTGAAGGCAAAATTGAAAACAAAACGCAATACCAAAGTTGGAAACCAAGGAGACTGGTTACACGATATACGCGTAGTAATATTGTATTATTGACATATCCAGATACAATTAATAGCCCTACAGTCGTCAGCATAACATTGAAACAGATTTTGGAGCAATTGGTCAATAGAAGGTTGGTTTAATAGTCAGATTTAGGAGAAGTGATTTGGGGACAATGGAATTTGGATCGTCCAGGCAGTCCAATGGTAAAAGACTCAACCACAATACAAATGGCAATTCAGAACAACCAATGGGCCAAAATAATTATAAAAATGATGAATATAACTACAATTTTAATAACAATTTAAATACCATCAATAATACCATCAACAACACCATCAATAACACCATCAATAATAACATCAATAATAACATAAATAATAACATCAATAATAACATCAATAACAACATCAATAACAACATTGGAAGTAATATCAACAATGGCAATCAACAGAATAATGGCAATCAACAGAATAATGCTCAGACGAGTAATGTTTTTCACACTGGTGGTGTCAACAAGGGTGTTGTTGATGGGCCAATGATGGCACAACTCAGAGCCAATAGCACCATTGATCCCAACAAAATCAAGCGTGGACAGTGGAGATGCAACCAATGCAAAGGCAAGTTTAGATTATTGAGTGAGTTGTGTCAACACAAGGATTGGAGTAGACATGATGGTAACTACAAACATAAGTGCAGAATCAAGACATGCGAATACTTTATCATAGGGTTCTCAACGAAGTGGGGAGTCCAAAAGCATCTCAAGCAACACAATGATTCCAAGATACGGTGTCAACACTGCAGATTTCGAACTTCGTGGAAATATAATCTTCAGAGACATATGATTACACATCGAAATATGATTCGGATACCTAGAGTACCAGCATCAGATGCAGGTGGTGAGCAAGAACAATTGACACCATATCTACCATCATATCCACCACCATATTCACCACCATATTCACCATCATATCCACCACCGTATCCACCACCGTATCCACCACCATATCCACCACCAAATTCAGTATCATATACACCAACATATCCAGTAACATATACACCAACATATCCAGTAACATATCCAGTAACATATTCAGCACTATATCATGTACCATACCCTATACCATACCCTATACCATACCCTATACCATACCCTGTACCACACGCAACACCATATACAGAATCAATGCCATCATATTTGACGCCAACACTGGAAACGAATGCACCGTTAAGCACAGCAGCAACACAAAATACATCATTTGAACCAGTCCAAGTGAATCAACAACCAACTCAAGTGATTCAACAGCCAGTAGTTGCTCCAGGAATTGTGGGACAGTCATCATCATTTAATGGTCTTATGTATGGCACCACAATCGAGAAAGCCAAAATGAAGTTGCCATCTCTCAGAGAAATGTTTCCAGATGACAATAGTTTTAGACGATAATAGCATCATACAACCGGGATATGTGTATATTTGAACTATACTCTAAGTGGGACCATAACAGACAGCAAGACGTGGATCAGACGTGCAACATTGGATCAACTCAACCACCATTGATTTCAGATAGCTATTCCGTATATACAAACACACAGCGATAATATACACAGTAACAATACACACTGTGATAATACACACATTGATTGCGATAGCAGGCTAATGACCAACAAAACACAGGTAGATAAAAATCCGATAAAAATCCGATAAAAATCCGATAAA